ATTGGATTTTTTCAAAAGTTTCAAAGATATTCCGTCTCAACCGGCTCAAGGCTGAGCATTTGTAAAGGTAAAGTTCCAGCGTTCATCGCCCGCGCATGCTCTGCATATTGCAGACTCCTCTTTAACAAGTTTCTGTAGTTGAAATGTTAGTGGTAGGTATTCTGCGTTAGCCCATACAATGTTACATAGTTTCCTCTTGCCTAAAAGTAGAAACATTTTGGTCTTTTCACCATCAACACTACCTCAGAGTACTTTTGTGTCATCGTAACAAATGCTTATTCCATTTAGGGACCAAAAATTTAAATAGCAACACTGGTAATATAGATCGACTCCTTAAAGTCTCAGAATATCTGGATTGACAATAGGTGAAATGAAATAACAACTTATTATGACAGACACAGAGAAAATCCACAACCGTTCTAAGACCATGGACAGTTTTAAGCTATAAAAAGCGTTTTATTTATAAAAAAAATCACTTTATACTGTTATTTTTCGGTTGTCACAAAACTAACGGAACGTTGTCTCTGACCCAATTATTCATTTCAACAATAAATTCAAAGAGCTGCAATATTTGGAGTAATACCAATTATTTATGTGCACTCCGCTGCAGTTCAATTCTTCATTGTTTTGACATTTTTAGGTAATAAAATATAAAGTCCACATAAAAATCGAAATAAAGCACAGAAAAACCTACCACATCACCGCGATCCAAAACAAAATAAAGCGGCCAAGCCGGCACGATTCGCCACCGCAGGACATTTATTAGACAATGGAAACCGCAAAGCCGTGGGTATGATAAAATACCGTTGAAAAACATTAGAAACAAAATCCAAACTCTAACACAACCAAATATATGAACAACAAAAGACATGCGGGAAAAATGCAACATGCCGAAAAGAAAAAACATTGCATTAAAATGCAAAACTTAGTGAAGAGTTTGGCAAAATAAACCAAAATGCTTTACTTTGTTTTGCAACAAATGTAATATGTGTGTCTCTGTGCTGAAATGAGTGCACGTAACAATCGGAAATCGTTTTGACTCGCTAACTTTTGTTTATAAACATTCGTATTCCAAATTTTTTTCCGTAAGAAAAATATAGAGCATATACATATGTGCAAGCTCGAGTCGTGAATAGATATAGAATTTTATAAGGCAGCATTACACAAATAAAGCAACGGACAAAAGTTTGTTCACGTGCTCATACAAATATACTAATATTATGAAACATATGTACATTGATATATTATATAAATGCCGTTAGGATCTCCACGGAAGTTGTATATATTAAAATGGTATTCCTCTTATCAGCGATATGGAAGCACTGTTGACGCCGTTTAAGTAAATTTTTGCCAGTTTTGTATGTATGTATGTATGTGTATACACTGATGGTCATATAAATAGGCACGATTTATAAATAAATAAAAAACTGATATATATGTATGCATAAAACCATATATGTAATTCAAAGTTTTAAACATGGAAAAAAAATTATAAAAAATATAAAGTTTTCAAAAAAATATTCTGAAAATTGCAAAACTTATTATTCGAAATTTGTAAAAAACTTTGAGTATGCAGTTTTGTAGCCTATGCAATTTTAGTGTAAGAGTGTGCTAGCTTAATGTGAGCTTAAAATTCTCGTTGCTTTTTGAAAGTTTTCTCTAAAATATATCAAACATATCGTGCTCCGAACCAAACTCTTTGGCTGCTTCAGTAATTATAACAAACAAAAAGTAAATTACATTTTCAAAGACGCTGCATTCATGATGTCGTATCTTGTAAACCTGAAACAATATATTTTCTTTGATGAAACCGACATTCATCGTTTTCACACCAGCAAATACCAAAAACAATGTAGATTATTTAATTCATTCAACTGTATCCTACCTCTAAGACATGCTTACAAAGTTCTCAAAAATTGTCTTAAGTCGTTCATATATGTTAGAAATAGTACTTATTCATACATTTCCGATTCTGGAATGATCTAAAGGAGAAAAAACTCCCAAGAAAAATATTTCCCTCTGGTATTAATACGTTTGTAAAATGTTTGCTTATATCAGAGAAAAGATCAGAAACCCAGAGTATTTTTAACTATTATATTAAATGATTCCAACGTCCAAGGATCCATCTGGAAAGAATGTTTTGTATATTATTCATCCTGCTCTTTTTTATTGTGGAAGAGTTGTGTTATTTAAAGCTTCCAAAATATTTATGTGTTGTAATTTCCGAAATCATTACGCCCTCATCCACAATAAAGCTCTTTACTCATACGAGTTCTTCACAGTTATGAACTTGAATTTTACTTCTCGGATTGTAACCTGTCGCTCAGCTCTTTATTCAAACAATTGCAGACCAATATTTTTTCTTTCTCTTTTCTTTAAGAACCGGACTTCTCTCAAGAAGGTGCGGACACTCCAACCATCAATAAAAAGTCTAACTATTTTCAACGACACAACCGGCGTTGTATCCCTCTTTAAGCACCAAGTAAGCTGTGGACTATTTCAAGTACTAAGTACGAAGTACTACAAAATATTGACTTAGATAACACATATGGGTGTATATGAACCTACGGCTTCGGAAAATATGAAGAGCTAATACGAATAACACCTAGAAGGAAACGTAAGAGACCCTATCAAAAAATATGGTAGTATATATAACTATAAACTTGTATATATAAGATCAGCGTGACGAGCTGAGTTGATTTAGTCATGTTCGTCTGTCTGTATATACTTGTATGGGAACTAGTCCCTCGGTTGTTGAGAAATCGATATGAAATTTTGCACACATTTTTTCTTCATTCTTTCATGTATGAAAAATTCTTTATTAGTGAAGAGTATTCATGGATCGGTGAAACTGAAGTAAAGATTTTTTCTTGTTAATAGTCAACTAGGATTTTAAGATAGAACGATATCAAAGAAAATTTGAGATCCAACCAAAAAAAGCCTTGAAGATGAAAGAAGCTTTGGAACTTTTTGAAATATTGCAGTAGAGCAGTAGTGCATACACTACGAAGTTTTGTTGTGAATGAAAAAATATTTTAAGATTAAAAGAAAATAAAAAATCAATCGAGGAAATGTAGCTGGTTTCATTACCTTTCATTTAAAAATGTATTTTTTCGTCAGCACGTGTATCTACTAAAAAATTTCCCCCTTTTCAAATGCTGAACTTTTATTTCGGTTGGTCAGCTCTATCCGCCGACCAATAGAGAAGAGCCATTTGAAGCATGACATTTTTATATGGCAAGCAAAGAACGTTTCTTCAGCTGGCCGCGACAGCAAATTTTATGAAAGAAAAACAACTGTTAAACAAGCAACAATGCAAAGGGGATGTTTTAAAAAAGAGCAACAAAAACAAAGAAGAAAATAAAACAAAAATCTGCCACACTGAATGCAAGTCGGCAAAAGCAACAGCAAGAGCATGTGTCAGTTGCGGCTCGTGTGCTTTGAAATATTGCTTTGGATTCCACTAAGTTTCCCTATGCCTTCCTCTGCATTTTGCTGTACGCCTTGTTGCATTTTGTTGTCCTTTAAGTGCTTTGTTTTTGGCTTTCATGCGACTTTCGCTCCGCTACCGACGTTCATGAGCGACGTGTTCACTGCATTTGCGTGCACTAATATATTTCCTTGCTACTAAATATTTCCTCGGACATGCGCTGACCACCCAACCATTACCACACATATGTGTGTGTGTGTGTGTGTGCTTTCCTAGCATTCTAGCGCTTCAGCGTTGCATAGCTGAAGACAGCGAAAGGCACGCAGCGAATTGATGGCAGCGCCACACCGCCATTTCGCAGCTCGTGACTTCCTCAAGTATTGGTGACACTTGATTTTATGCAATGCGATTTGGCGCACACGACATGCCTGTTTGTTTGTGTGAGTGTGTTTTGTACGTGTGGCTTTTCACCTGTAATAATTCCCCGCTTGAGTAGTCACGATTGCGCTGTGTGTGCGCTGGACGACATTTCTGCGTTGCCACCGAATTTCTTGGCTCTTCTCTTGTTTATTTATTAAATTCATTGTTTCCTTTTTGTCGTAAATTTTTACTGTCAGCGTTCGGTCAACAAATGCTTGTGGACTGCGGTCTTTTCAATTTGATTTATTATTGCAGTTATTGGTTAATTCGATATTCAGTTTGCAATGTCCCAAATTGGCTGAAGAATTGGTTGTGTTTGGAGTTCGTTTTCTTGCGCCATCTTCTGTTTGTCTAAGGCTTTTTCCCCGATCCTCTCAACTTCTTTGTCTAACGTCTGATGTTACTGATGAAATATTTTCAGAGCCAAAGACTCGCATCCGGTCTACATAATCTGGAAAATGTAGCCGCTAGATAATAATTTGCACAACTACTTTCATTGCAATATTCGTTGAGCAATTCTGCGAAGGTGACGGTTCTTGATCGGTTTCGTTCGGGTTGTGTACCAGTTCTGAAAGATATTCGTAATTGCCAAATAATTTAAGTCGATACACTTCTGGCTTGATAACAAGAGATATTATTTCCCATCTTCTAGTCCAAGTCGCTTCGCATTATTATTTTATTTTCACACAAGAAAAATAATACCCTTCACAGCTGAATTTCTTATAGTAATTATAGGTTTTATACAAGAACTTAATTTCAGTTGATCAGTCGATCAGTTTGTATGGCAGCTACATCTTATAGCGATATCTCAAAAACTGAAAACTGAGAGAGTAGTTCGCATATATAATATATAGACGGATAGTCAGGCAGATGAACTTAGTTTAAACGTCACGCAGATTATTTATGTATATGCTTATAGAATCGTGGCAAATTTAACACCCATACCGTTTCAGGTATGACATGGTGAAGTTATTTCCATTTACATGAGAGGCTTAAACTTGCTACTTGAACTTTTTTCAGAGATCGAAGAATGTACTAAAACTTACTGGTTGTAATAAAAAATCAATATTATTGTGAGGCTTCATAACATTCAGTCATATTTTCAATTAAGTTAATTGATTTCCAGTTAAATAATTATATTACAAAAAAATTTAAGATAACCATTTAATGTATTTTTTCTGCCATTGAAAACATCTTGATCGCCTCACTGGATTACTAGGCATTAAATATTCTCATAAAAAATCAATTGTAATAAATGCAATCATTCAATATTTCATAAGAAGCAATCTTGAAATTTGCATACAGACAAACGGGTTTTAAAAGTCGTTAAAAATTACTTTATTTATTATGATTTTATTTGTTTCGTTTATTTTTCAATCACAATGCGAATTTATATGCTATTTCTACCTATAATAGAACACAAAAATCTCTGCTTTTCTAAAAAAAACTTATTTAGTACTTATATGCGAGCAAATATGCAATCTAAGTTTTGCTTATCGGCCGTATCCTGTTTTGAAAGTACCTGACGATGCTGATGCCGATGCTGAAGCTGATGCCGATGATGAGGCTGACGAATGAGCTGAACTACTTGCACCACCATAGCCTCCACTGCCACCATAACCACCTGCACCACCACCTCGACCACCAGCGCCATAGCCACCAGCTCCACCAGCACCACCGGCTCCACCAGCACCACCGCTGCCAAAACCACCGGCGCCACCAAAACCGCCAGCACCTCCTAAGCCTCCACCTAGGCCAAGACCAAGTCCGAGACCTAAACCAGCGCCGCCGTGTTGTCCGTGTTTTCTGTGACCGTGACCATGACCACCGCCAGCTCCACCACCAAATCCTCCATCGAACCCGGCCCCTCCGCCGGAGCCAGCTAAACCGCCTGCAGATCCAAATCCACCGGCACCGCCTTTACCGCCGCCATAACCACCGGCACCAGATCCACTTCCAGCAGAGCTACCGGCTGATGCTGATCCTTGTCCTCCAGCTCCACCTTTTCCACCACCGAAACCTCCAGCACCGCCAGCTCCACCACTCAGTCCACCTCCAAAGCCTCCATCAAATCCACCTCCAGCACCGGAACCGGCTGAACCACCAGCTGAACCATATCCTCCAGTGTTACCTTTACCGCCACCATAACCCCCGGAGGATCCTGCACCGCCAGAGCCACCACTAAGTCCACCTCCGAAGCCTCCATCAAATCCACCTCCTGAACCTCCTGCGCCAGAGTTAGCCGAACCACTGGCCGATGCGGATCCATGTCCTGCGGCGCTGCCCTGATTGCCGCCAAAACCGCCAGGTCCACCTCCAAAGCCTCCCCCAAATCCACCACCAGCGCCAGAACCGGATGAGCCACCAGCGGATCCACCAGCTGAACCATATCCGCCGGCGTTGCCTTTACCACTACCATAACCGCCAGCACTGCCAGAACTGCCACCTAGTCCACCTCCGAAGCCTCCGGCACCGGCTGAACCACCAGCTGATCCATATCCTCCGGCGCTACCTTTACCGTCACCAAAGCCACCAGCGCCTCCTGCACCACCACCAAGTCCACCTCCAAAGCCTCCAGCGCCAGCATTGCCTGAACCATATCCGCCGGCACTACCTTTACCGCCGCCATAACCACCAGCGCCGCCTGAGCCGCCACCCAGACCACCACCAAAGCCTCCATCAAATCCGCCTCCGGTGCCAGCATTGGCTGAACCAGCAGCTGAACCGTGTCCTCCGGAAGCGCCTTTACCGCCGCCAAAACCACCAGCGCCGCCACCGAGTCCACCTCCTAGGCCTCCATCAAATCCACCACCAGTGCCGCCACCTGCGCCAGCACTGGCTGAACTACCAGCGGAAGCATCAGATGAACCGTATCCTCCAGATGCGCCTTTACTGCCGCCATAACCGCCAGCGCCGCCTGAACCGCCAGCACCACCACCAAAGCCTCCAGCTCCTAGACCAGATGAACCTCCAGCAGATGCTGATCCGTCAGCTGATGAAGAGCTTCCAGCACCACCACTGCCACCTAAACCACCGCCAAGGCCTTGACCCAGACCAAGCCCGCTGGAAGCAGAACCACCAGCGCTTGCGCCACCAGCTCCACCATAACTTCCACCATAACCTGAACCGGAACTGCTTGCCGCATTAGCGGACGCCGAACTCAGACTCGCTCCACCGCCTAAGCCAAGACCCAAAAGGCCGCCTTTAGAACCACCAATATCGAGTCCAAGGCCTAAACCCAGTCCACCGGACCCTCCTCCGCTATGTGATACTCCATAGCCTGCAAACAAAATGACAAACTTTTCGAACATACTCTAAACTAGACACACATCATCATCCTTACCGTTGCTCAAGGCTAGTGAAACTGTTAACAAACTAAACACTGTAAACGCTCGCATGATCAGAACTCAAATGTTGCGCTCAATACTCGCAGATGCGCTTATATAGAACTCATTCTAGGCACCAATTAAAATACTGCTTAAAAAGACAACGTTCAGTAAGCAGTGCAAAAACTTTATTTTCTTCAATGTTTACCCCCTTGCCCTGCTAGAGGGAAATGCGAATAAACAGTATTGATCGTGGATTAACCGATAATTCACTCATAATAACATTCAACTTACTTGTACATGTACAAACCTACTTCTATATAATGCATGTATATATATTGATGTATATCAGTGTGTACATCACGTTTGGGGGAAACCTCAATCCCCGTCAAACAGTCGATGTGCTCACAGATTACTTTGCATATTATTGAGGCATGAATTTCAGATGTGCGAAAAATGTTCTTCTCCCAATCAATGACTACGCTTAAATTCACCCTACACTCGGTTTAAGACATAAGTTGTAAGTTTTTAATCACTTTCTTATATGTGAGAACCCTTAGAAATATCAGCAACTGTTAGAAAACAGTTTCTTCACTTATTATGTCTATATATTTTATAAGAAATCGACATAAGCTTCTTCTGGCGTATAAACTATCAGCATTTCGTATAAATTTGCTCCATAATACTAAATATTTATTATAGGAAACGGAAGAGGAACTACCACAAGTATTGACTATTTTCTTAAATAGTTATATTTTTCTTCTTACTCAGACTTCTTTATTTATGACAATTTTTCAAGTCGCAGTTTGCTCGACAGACCATAATTCTGTAAGTCACCACCTCAATCAGTATATTTTTTATATTTCAAATGCTGTCTATACTCATTTGCTCTCAAGTTTCTCTTTTCATCGAGACCACTAAGCTGATTTTAATATATTTGATTTTGTTCTGTAAGAGAATTGATGAAATATTACAAAATACTTGTCGGACCTCGTTTAGAACAAAATACTCATACATTGTGATCTTCACATAACAGAAGCCTTCTTATGTATATGTATATTGAAGATATTCATCTCAATCCAACAGTCGCAGAGCAAATGCTCTAATCTTAGAACAACTTCGTGCATTCTCTGCGTTATTTTATTTCTCTGTCCTAGTTTCTGAAAGCAAAAGGTGAGCGGTAAGTGCTGTGATAATCCCAATCTCAGTTACAATATATCTTTCCTAAAAGAAAAAGCCTTTTGTTCGACAGGGTATAACATACGATCATCCATAGTACCCCAAAGTATTGCCACGAAATTTGTAATACCCAAAAAGAAACGTCGGAGACCGCATAAAATATATATATAAGCATGACAAGCTAAATCGATTTAGCCACGACCGTCTGTATACAAGTCAACTATTCCCTCGGTTTTTGACATATAGATCTGAAGTTTTGCAAACGTTTTTTTCTCTCCAAGGAGCTGCTGATTTATCGGAACCGCCAACATCGAACTACTATAGCATATCGCTGTCATACAAACTGACCAATCAAAGTCATTGTACGGAATATTTTGTATTTGTGAAGAGAGAATATAGCTTCGATGCAACCGAAGTCAACGTTTTTTTCTAGTTGTTGGTATTTTTGTATTAGTCGTGTTCCAAGATTTGAGTCTTTGGATGAACTAAGAGAAAATACAATAAGTATACATTTCTCAATTTCTTAATAAAATATACTCGTATAAAAAAATATATATAATAATTTTATATTTCAATACAAAGCGCCAATTTTCTACACTTTTTCGAATCGAAGTAGTCAACTGCATTGTTTATAGCGCATGCGTCCCATAACCTTATCGTAGCCACTGCGAGCGCTCGTAATTTGTATGCGAAACAGGTTTACTGGATTTTTTATTCCACATGAAATTTAACGACACCAAACCAGATGCCACTTTCAACATCAACAAATTACGCTACGAAATTAACAAAATAAAAACAATTAAAAAGTGGGAACAAAAATAGAAATTTTATAACCGGCAAAATACATATATACATGTTTAATACAAACAAACATACTTGTATATATGATAATGAATTACAAGTCATAAAACGTATAAACGGGTGCTTTACCTACGAAAACAGAGTCTGAAATCTACAAATGTAGAATCTTAAACCAGAAACCAAATTATTTTTTATCAAAATTTCAAACTTATTTCTAAATATGAATATTAGATATTTTTTTGACAGACAGTCACGTTCTTAAAGCTTTGTTTCGTGGTTTCGAGAAAATATTGTGAGTTTATTTTTCGATACATATGTAGATGAAACTTGTGTTATCATATAATAAACTAATGAACATAATTTTTTCTTTTTTATAAAAAAACAGGCATTGCTTGATACATTTTAGCAGACATAGTTAGTTTATTTAAAAGTTTTCCAACATTCTGATTCTTTTTTACAAATAACTAATAACAAAGTGTCTCTAATATGCCACGCCGACAAAACGATTTTATTCAAGTTTTCATTTCAGCTCTTTTCCATATCTAACCGTACCTTTTAGCAGGAAGCCATCAAAGGGAGGGCGCAGAGGGTTTAAAAGATTTCAACAAGTGGGAGTGATCACGTTCTGCAGAATGTTTAAAGTACAAATCTTATGCACCAGTCAAACTACATCAAGTAAACTCGGATATTAAGTTTGGCTACCTAGTAAAAATTAGGAAAAAAACCTTCTGCTTAAATATAATATTTGATTCAAAACTACTAAAAATGCTATAATTCTGTAAAATGTAATTCCAGAAGCTCAAAATTTCGTTTCAAAAAAATTTACTAATGGCTTTGGTACTGACCATTTTAGGTGAAACTTTATGTTTCTCAAACCGTTCGATTAAATCCATACAAATTTTGTGCAAAGCATTTTCCTAATATTTCCATAAAAATTTCTTCCAAATATGTATGCAATCTGGTTATACCTTCTTTTAGTCTCAAAATTTACACCATGTATATTTGTATACCATCTGATTAAATTTGACCCTGACTGACAAAAAAAAACTATATTTTCACGTTATTTAATACAAATCTTTATGATCGTCTTGAAAATTACCGTCTGAGCCAAAACAAGCATGGCTCTCAATTCCTTCAGCGAGTTTTGGCTCGTCATATTTATAAACTCGCGTCTCGTCACTAGTAACGATGCGTTTGATGAATATATGAATATTTATATATTAAAGGGTCCTCAGCTACGTTTTCAAGCTTCTCTTTTGTAACCTCTACTCGACGTTGTTTTTGCGTTGGTTTTTTGGTACGTGTTTGTATTGTATTGACGTGCTTCATACCCAAAACAATAACCGAAACGGTTAATTGAGTTCTGCTAACTTTCTGTTGCCAACATGACCACTAACAAATACTGTCTCTTTAAGTTTTTCGATGTTTTCGTCAGTATATCATAGGTGTATGGATGACTTGCATGATGCGAGTTTTCGTTGACTTCACGACCTTAACTGAATTCTTTGTGTTTGTGATAAAGTAGAGTCTCTCAAACACTTCTGTAACATTTTCAACGAGTACGTAGCCGTGATTCCATTGGATATAGAAAATTTCAAGCAAACTCTTTGTTCAATTTTTTTCCCAATAATTTCTTTCTTAACCTAAACAAAATAGATTTTTAGTTTAGATAGTCAGTTATCGTGATAAAACGCAATCAATATGTTACCAATAGTACTTGTTAATTTGATACCGAAAGTGTTTTTACTCGCTGAATAATTTCGCTTAACAACGAAGCAACATTTTTTGGAATTTAGATTAGAATATATAAAAGTTAAGAAAGACGCTGCGACCTAAGTCTTTTGTGCCCGCTCCTATTATCACAACACTTCATTTCAACCAATTAAATCAAGAAGAATCAGTAAAGCGCCTGAGTGAATAGATGTGATATGCTCTCTCATTGGTTTTAGTATACCAGTTTTGAGATGACACATTAGCCTGCAATGAACCATATACTAGCTTCCTGAATTTGCTTTTGGCAAGGACAATTAATTGCTTGAACCTTTTTGTTTCGATTGAATAGCATAAACACTTCAGAGATTAAGAGTATTCAAAGATTTTAATGTTGGCGATGTTTCTGCGATGGTATCCGATTACTTCTGTGTGTTTTAGGTGATCATATTTCGACACATTTTCGTCAAGATCGAATTCGATGATTAATTTGGTGGCTACAAAATTTAATGAGAGAATCTTAAATTTGACAAACTTTTCTCTCTAGCTATATCTAGTGATCCAGTATGCTAAATACATATTTTCGTTTTGTTTACATAAATGATAAAAGGTTTTGCAAAAGGTTTAGATTTTGACAGGAATATCAGTAGAACACAAAGGAAGAGTTAATGTAAAAAGTGATGCATCTGCGACAAAAACTCTGACCGTCACATCAAGTTAACCAAATAAATTGTAAACAAATAATAAACTAAAAAAATTAAATGATTTATTATTAATTGTGGTATTTTATTGATCAAAAGCAAACAAATTCTTAGAAACAGAAGAGAAACCATTGTCATATTGCCCATGACTGATGACTACCATTAAGTAGAGTTCGTGAATTTTTTTCATTTATATAAAATTTATTTGTTTTTATCTCTTCATTAAAAGAATCGCCATAAAATTGCAGACATAATTTACGCTTCAATGGTCATTAGTAAACAAGCCGCACAAAATACAATATACGACATAGTAAATTTTTTATAGCTTATTGCTTGTTTTCTCCAATATATTTTTTATACGCTTTAGCAACTTTTATTCTTTACTCTGCGCTACTAACTAGTGTTTCGAATGTCCGCAATAACTGAATGTGACGCTCGCTCGCCAACCAAAGAAATAAGTCGCCAGCAATGGGAGCGTAAAAATCACATAATTTTGGTAGAATTTTTTAAAATTATTTTTCGTCGTGTATTTTTTTATTGGTTCTATTTATATATATTGGGGATTTCATTGAGTGAAAAAATAAAGGAAGAAATTAGAAAACCCAACCGCCAAAGATGGATCACTCTTCACCACGGCAGTGCGAGTTCTCACACATCGACTGAATTAACCGCAGTTTTGAGCTGTAAAAAAATGGATTTGATAAATCATTCGCCATACAGTCCTGACTTGACACCGCGCGACTTAATTCCATTTTTTGGCCGAGATGAATATTTTAAGTTACTGTAAACAACACAAATAATGCTCTTATATCAAATCG